TGCACATGGCTCAGGTCACAGCACACGACATTGGTCACAGCACATGGCTCAAGTCACAGCATTGGTCACAGCACATAGCTCAGGTTACAGCATTGGTCACATAGACTACACAGCACCACCTCACCACCACCATCGTCTTACATGCTCTAACCCTACTCCACTGCTACTACCACAATCGACAACCCACCACAACCACCATCACAAACGTCGCCAACATAGCATCACCAATCGACGACAAACCAAAAACAATGAGAATCTCCAGCACCAACAATATGGCCGTCGTCGCCACAGAAATTATTAGATCCACAAAACCACCACCCCCACCAACAAAATCAATGCACCACCACCGCAAAACAAAAATCCAAAATCTGCACAATCGCCACCACCACCATTCTGATCGGAACCCCCACCTCTAATCGACCTCACCCAAGCCATCATGGTGCCCAAGAAACTAAAAGTGCTGAATTAAAACAAATTAATATGTCTCTCTCTCTATAGACTCTCAACAGAGTCCACCGTCTACACCAATTCCAAGTCACCACTTTAGATCTGTCAATGTTGGTGCTGGTTAATTCAATTATTTTTTGAATTGATCAGTTGCAGGATATGCTAGGTCGCAAGCGAAGACTCCGGTGACTTTTGGCCCGACCGATCTGGTTTGCCGTCGGACCTTACAAGGTCACACAGGAAAGGTAGAGAGAGAGAGAGGTGTCGACTGTTGTAGAGAAGAAGGGGGATGTCGATTGCGCCCGACGATGGAGGGATGCCAAGTCTCCGACTACCGGCGATGGCTTGGCAATGGGGAAGAGGTTGTAGATAGGTTAGGCTTCGCGATCTGGTTTGTTGTAGATAGGTGAGGTGGTGCCGACGGTATCGTGCCGGCGTTGTGGTGCCGGTGTGGTGGCGGTGAGAGAGAGAGAGGGCGGCGACGGGTCGAAAATGTAGAGAGAGAGAGACACGGGTGAGAACTAATGAGAGATAGAGAGGTGAGTTAGGGATTTAGGTTAAGTTGAGGTGGGGTGTATATAATTTAATTT